GGAACCATTGTGAGCACTGACTCAGAAAACACTAGAAGGTATCCCATTTCCTCAGCGCACCCTTCTGGCTGCAGTTCACTTGTACCCACTCTCACCTCTCCAGCCTACCTCCTCCTCCCAGCCTCTCTCTTAACTCCCCTTCGTTGTGGGAGATAGCAGCCTCCCTGGAATAGCTAACAACAGCCGACAGGGTCTGTCCTGTCACTGCAGGTCTTGAGTTTCAAGGGCTTCTCAAAGTGGAATGTGCAGGCGGATCACCTGGGAATGTGGGTTAGTGCATCCTGTTAGTGCCCAGCTGTTAATGGAAAGGTTGGAGGTCCGAGTCCAACCAGAGCCACCTGGGAAGAAAGGCCCTGATCGCTCCAGAAAATCAGACCCTGAAAGCCTGAGAAGCGCAGTTCTGCTCTGACACACAGCCGTGTTGAGCATTGATACAGATTCCTAAGAATCGTCCTGTTCAAGATGATCCCTTCCCCTCTCTCTTTCCCTCTTCCATCGCCCTCCCTCCCATGTTCACACCGAATGAAGCAGTCAACCGAAGCTAAATTCCCAGCTGGCAGCAACTGGTTTATCTGTTGTCAGGAGGGTTTCCTACTCATTCAGATCACCCAGTGGTCTGGCGCTTGGTCCCTCTGCAGCCGCTGTGATGGGCAGCAGTACGTTACCGCCCATGGAGTCACTCCACACTGCTGCCTTGAAATAAATTTGTGTGAAATCAATACAGAAGTTTGCTGAATCATTTTAGAGCTAGATTTAGGAGGGCCACATCTGAGAAATCTGGTCTGAGAACATTTGATAAGAAACATAAATGAAGAAAGTCTACAAGCGGTTTGGCTATCATGATAATGTTGAAGGTATGAATATGTCATTTCCCACACGAGCAGAGCAAACTAATTTTAAAAACAACTCTTCTCTGTTGTTTTAGATCTGGACCACCTTTGAAGGCAGGCAAAACCCGAACCTTTCACGGTCTGCATGAGGTACGAAATGCTGGGAGTGCCCATCCAGCACGGCCCCACCGAGCACTGCGACAAGCCGGTGCTGTGGCTGCCTGGCCATACTGAGCATCCTGTATGGGGTCGTCTGGTTTTATCCCGGTATTAAGCATAAGTGTTATTTCAGATTGTGACGAGGCGACTCGCTGTCTGAAAGTGCTGCCTCTCCTGTATCCTCAGTCTGAAGGCTTCCTTTGTTCAGACCTCAGCTTATGTGGTAGAATTATCTGTAAGACTAGCCTCCCCCTACTTTCAAACACCCAGGGTCTAGCATTTTGCCAAGATACAAGGGCTGACCATAGCAACAGATTTCCCCGTGAGCTTAGCTGAAGTTGAAGTTGCTGTGTGGGAAATCAATATATCTCTCTCCACATAGCATTCCCTGTGCCATTTTCTGCACATGAAGGCTTTAAAGAAATAAAGAGTTTGTGTGTGTGTGTGTTTGTGGAACAGGACTTCCCCAGCGTGGTGGTTGTTGGCCTTGGCAAAAAGACAGCTGCAGTCAACGACCAGGAAAACTGGCATGAAGGCAAAGAAAACATCAGGACTGCCGTTGCAGGTGACTTGACTTTTTATGTTGAACCGTACAGGTGCTTAAGGATCCCTCATTAAGGTGGTCTCTTTCCTTTTTCTGCCCCCTTCCCATCACCCTCCCTCCCACGTCCACACAGAAATAATTCAACAGGGACTGAGTGTTCCTTACTCACTGTGCTTAGCCTTATCACAGATACGGAAGGTTAGCTCACAGGATTTTGATTTTTAATATTTCTCTGTCTCATATTTGGAGTTTTTGCTAGCATTCACTCTTGTAGTATTGACCTTAGGACTGTATGTTATTGGAAAGTTGTAGTATGTAGATTTTTTTCTTTTTATAACGCCACCCTGGTGTTGCCCAACTTTTTAATTCCTTGGAGTCATCATATTTACCTGTCAGACGATGGAAGCAAAGGCTGGGGTGCCTGTCTATAACTCGTCACAAAAAGGCGTGCACCTGTCCCAGGTTCCCACAGGGAGGCTCACACGGGAAGATGCAGTTGAATCATGGGAGAGCCGAGCAGCAGAGAGAGGCCTTGGGCATGGAGGTGCTGGTGAAAGGATGCTTTGGAAAACATGTCTGAAAAAATTATGATTAAAATGATTGATCTTTGGCCCTGGACACATCACCTGTGCTCGTTCAATTCACTTTCAAAGTTCATGCCCCGTGACTATGCCACAATTTTTATTTGGGTGGTTTTGCTGACCTGAAGTGCTGTGTTAATAGTGGACTTTGCTTAGTTCCTTTGAGATAATTTCAGTATCATTGTTTCTCTGCTATTTGTAATCTGGCAAGCTCTCAGTGATCAGGAAGCTTATCGGGAAATCACTGTTTCAGAAGTGTTGCCAGTAGTAGTGGCCGCTGCTGAGGGCCTCTGCCCGTGACGGAGCTGTGCTAGCCATTTTCTCTGTCAGTCCATCCTCACCACAGCCCGTGAGGTATGTTTGCTTCCTCATTTTACAGACGAGGAAACAGCTGCCCAGAGTGCTCAAGGGTTGGAGCCGGGATTTGAACCCAACTCCCGTGGATTTCTGAGGGCCCTGCTCCTGCCTCTGCCTTCTGCTACTCTGGTTGTCTCTGACTGACTCCAGTTCTCTGGTTGCTCTGTCCTCTTGAAGCGGGCTGCAGGCAGGTTCAAGAGCTGGAGTTCTCTTCTGTGGAGGTGGACCCCTGCGGAGATGCCCAGGCTGCCGCGGAAGGAGCTGTTCTCGGGCTGTATGAGTACGATGATCTGAAGCAGAAGAAGAAGGTGATGGTGTCAGCACAGCTCCATGGAAGGTGATGGAAGAGCCAACATCAGGGTTGCATCCCCCGACGTGATAATGTGGTCTCCTGGATAGGGACTGCCTGGATAGGGATTGGCCCTGCTACACAGTTGTCTCTGTGCGCGCACACGCGTGCGCGCACACACACACACGTACACTATCTTACCCATGTGAGAAGAGGCAACCTGTCCCCAAGTTCTCCTGGCTTTTGTCCTGGGCATATTTCCTTGTGATTCCCTAGACCCCTCCATGATATCTTCTTATTAGAAAGCCATGACCAGGTTGGCCCTTCCCTGAGATGGAGGGAACTAGACCACCGACAGGTCCCAGCAGGTTTCATGCCAGGTGGTTTCCACATGACCTGCATTTCCTGGCCTTTTACCAGATGCTAGAGGCACAGATGAAGGTAGATGGCCCTTGCCCTCACGGTCAGTCAGGGACACTCACCTTTCAGTAGGTTTATGGAGCCTCTCTTAACATCCCAGTCCTGCTCTCAGGAATAGATAGTGTGTGACCTGCGGTAGGTGGCGTGGGGACAATACAGTGGGGGTTCTTGGCCGAGCTACAGGTTACAAATGAGGGCCCTGCAGCCAGCTAGCTGGGGTTTGAATCCTGTCTCCACTACTTCCTCCCCAGAGACTTTAGTAAATTGACCACAATTTCTCTGTCATTTTCTTTATCCCTTCGGTAGGGTGTATTTGATGATCAAGAGCTAAAGCACGTCACGTGTAAGGCACGTGAGAAGCCCTCTGAACCATGAGCTGTTACTTTACTCATCTCCGTGCCATCCACAGTCGTCCCGGTTGGGTCCAGAGGCGCTAGCACGGTGGCACAGGCCCGTGCCCTTGTGTGGCTGATCCTGGCTTGCTCCCTGGTGGAGCCCTGCCCCTGGCAGGAAGGGGGAAGGGGGCTTTCAGCTCCACAGAAGAATCGCTGCAGTAGCTCCCCTTACAGTCAGCCCCTCAGGCTGTGTCCTGATGCAGTGAAGAGCAGAATGGGCCTTTCTGGGGAAACCACTTCCATCAGTGTGTGGGGTAGATTTTAGAGCTTCTGAGAACCCTCTGTCTGATCCCTTTCTTAAGCAGACAAGCGTTCTACTGTGAAATGCTTGGCCAGGCCTCTCCAGCTGGGCTTGATGGGAGTTGAGTTTTCCAGGTCTTTGCCCCACACTCTCTGGCTGCCCTGGTCACATCTCAAAGGATGCTCCCAGTTCCCATGTGTGAGCCCTTTCTCATTGGAATGTTCTTGGTTTTTCTAAGGCGGGAGCTGCTCATTGCTGCCAGAGGGTCAGTGACCTTGAGAGGCGGTCTGACACTGGCTCTGTGCTCTCTCCCATCAGTGGGGACCAGGAGGCCTGGGGGAAAGGAGTCCTCTTTGCTTCTGGGCAGAACTTGGCACGCCACTTGATGGAGACCCCAGCCAATGAGATGACGCCCACCAGGTTTGCCGAGATTATTGAGAAAAATCTCAGAGGCGCGAGCAGTAACACAGAGGTCTACATCAGGTCAGTCCAGGGTGCGGGCTGGTGCTGTTTCAGGCAGCAGGCTGTAACATCATCCTGAAATGCAGCTTGCTCCTTATTCAGTGGTGTGACTTGAGATCAGAGTGGGGACCTGACCGCCAGAGGCCACACAAAGCTGAGATCAGGGCTCCGTTGAGGTTCTTTCGGTCGTATCTTTCTTTGCCTTTGAGAGAGTGCTGTGGCTTCACAAAACTCGTGTGTGTATGTGTGTGTGTTTGTAAACACCTTTACTGAGATATCCACATACCATACAATCCATCCATGTAATGTGTACATGTCAGTGGTTTTTCATATGTTCAGAGAACAGCCACTACACAGTCATTTCTAAACAGGTTCAGCACCCCAAGCAGACACTGCACGCCCTTTACGTATCACTCCAACTCGTACCCTCCCCCAGCCCGAGGCAACCCCTTGTCTGCTTCCTGGCTGTGTTGTTGGGTGCCATGAAGTCCATTTCCATTCATAATGACCCATGGGACAGTAGAACTACAGTAGGGTTTTCTTCGCAGTAATCTGAACAGGAGCAGATGGCCAGGTCTTCTCCCACAGAGCCGATGGGTGGATTCGAATGCCAGCCTTGCGGTTGGCAGCTCAGCACTTAACTGCTGTGCTACCAGGGCTCGTTTTCTGTCTCCGTAAGAGTTGCCTGTTCTGTCCCTTTCATTCAAGTGGAATCGTACAATACGTGTGGCCTTTTGTGCCTGGCTTCTTTTCACTCAGCATCGTGTTTTCAAGGTTCATCCTTGTAGCATCTATTAGTTCTTTATTTTTTATGAATAATACTTCTGCCTGGATAGACTACATTTCCTTTATCCACTCCTCAGTTAATGGACATTTGGATTGTTTTTATCCATTGGCTATTATGGCTAATGCTGATATGAGCATTCATGTACAAGTATTTGTGTGGACATGTGTTTTCATTTCTCTTGGGTATAGACCTAGGATGGAATTGCTGAGTCACATGGTAACTCCATGTTTAGCTTTTTTTTTTTTTTTTAACTTTTTTAATTTTAATTTTTATTGTGATTTGGGTGAAAATTTACAGAGCAAATTCATTTTCTATACAACAGTTCATACACATTTTGTTTCATGACATTGACCGCAGTTCCCTACAATGTAGCAATTCTCTTCCCACTTCCTCCCTGTGGTTACCTCTTGGTGTCCCAGGCAGTCTCTAGGGGTTGCTGGAGGTGGCTAGGCTGTTGGGCAAAAAGCCTGTCCCTCCAAATCCCATCACTCTCTTGGGATTTCCCCACAACTTTTAACAAAGCAAGTCTGAGCATTTGGGGATCCATGGTGAAAATAAAGGGATGGATCACTTGCATTATGTGAAGAATTTTCTGCTCTCAGTTATTTCTCAGGGGAACATCTATTTGAAAGAATTCTTCAGGACGGAATTATGATTTAGAATTCACACTTTTGAAGAAAACCCCTACTGTCTAGAGTGAAGGAAGATTTGTAATCTATGTGAAATGCAGTACTTAGAGGCTTGGTAAAGTACCTACAATGGTTAGATAGGTGTCAACTCGCAGTTTGAACTCACAGAGGCGTCCTGGCAAAGAATTTCCCTTGTTGTATTTGAGGAGAAGCTGCAGCTGCTTGGTGGCAGCCCATCGTGACTGTGCTGTCACATTTCAGTGAACACACCAACTGTGTCTGGGGACTTGGCACTGGGCAGAGGTGAATGATGGTGCTCCTTGTCCCCAAAGAACTTGGATCCCATAGGATGGATTAGGCAGTGAACGGGGCACTCCAGGTTGCTGCCGGAGGAGAGGTAGCACGGGCCAGGGAAGAGGTGAAAGGCCAGCAAAGTTGGGGCCTCAGCAGAGTCTCAAAGGCTGCGTAGAACTTGAGTGGAGGAGAGAGGAGGCTTGGTATTTCAGGTGAAGAAATACGTGTGCAGGGGCCCGTTTGAAAGTCCAAGGCAGGTGGCCGAGCAAAGTGAAGCTTCTGCCAGAGATGAGGCAGGACTTGCAGGTGGGGTAAACCTAAACTATGCTGAGACATCGCCTCCAAAGGCCTCTGAGTATAGGTGGCTAGAAATCAAAGAAATGCAGGCAGACGGTCCTTCCAGAAGAACAGGACTCGCAGGGCACTGAGTTTGTGATCAGAAACGCCCATGTTGTACAGCCTGGCTTTGTTTGAAGAGAGTTTTTATCATCATACCTCTCATTTTTATATTGTTCCCTTTGAAGTTGGGTGGCCACCTTGCCAGGTGCATCCCAGTGGAATAGTTTGGGCAAATGGGTAGGCAAGTACAGGAGCATTCCTTGGATCTGAGTGTTCCTGGTTGGAATGTAGGCTGCCCGCCTTGGCTTATATACTATGGCCAGACATCAATACAAAGCCCATTTGTGTCCCCAGCCTAGAAAAGAAAGCAGTAGGGTATAAGTGTTCTGGTTAGCACTAAGGCCTGTCCTCATTATGTTACCCCCGTGGCCCCTGTGTTTATTAAGTAACAACTGATGGATCATCTTACTTCGGTCAAAGACTCTCAAACTGCTCTGGACCCGTGAGAAACAGTGTGACCACACTAAAGAGAGCATTCCAGCCAAAAGCAAAGAAATGGGATATTTTGGCACAGACATTGCAGTGCAGCTCTTGTAGTTGTTTGTTTTTTGTTTCTAGAAATAGCAAAAATAAAACATTGGGCCACTTAATGATCTTTGAATACCCTTTACAGTCTCAGAACCTTGCTGACCTCGGCTTTCAGTTAAAACTTTGACATGAGTAAGTTAGAAAACAAAAAGTTTATAATTACTGATTGGCTTTGTACTCTTGCCTGCCAGTGGATTAGAATTCTCTAAGAATTCTCTTCGTAGTGCTTAGGTAGTCTTTTGATGGTGTTTTCATTACTTTCATAGATGAAGAATCAGGCTCAGGATTGAATGACTTGTCCAGGAGTATACTTGCCCAGAAAGCAAGTGAAAAACACCAAACCAAACTCACTGTCGGATCCGACTCATAGCAACCCCTCCTTGGGTTTCCAAGGCGGTATCGCTACAGAAGTAGATTATGATAATTGAGCCCTTAATTGTTTCATGTTTTAAGATGCTGTATATTATACTGTTTTCCATGTGGATGGCCTTTCTCTTAAGCTGTTTTGAAATAAAGATAACAAATAAATACCTTAACTTCTTTCCCCCTTCTCGCCCCACAGACCCAGGTCTTGGATCGAGGAACAGGAAATGGGATCATTCCTAAGTGTGGCCAAAGGGTCTGAGGAGCCTCCAGTCTTCTTGGAAATCCACTACAAAGGCAGCCCCAATGCGAGCGAACCACCACTGGTGTTTGTGGGGAAGGGAATTACCTTCGACAGGTACTTCTTTGGGGTGTGCCTGCATCCGGGTTTTGTCTTTTGGGGAATGCTTTGCATGCATTCGTATTACTGGGTGCTGAGTTTGCTTCAGAAGTGTGGGGTTAGGTCATTTCTTTAACTTGACATGATGAAGCTACTGCTTACAGACTGTGCATTCTGTGTGTCAAGACTGTATCAGAAATTTTACACATATTAGCCTGCATACTACTCTCGTGAGGTTCGTGTTGGGGACATTGTACAGGTAAAGGAACTGGGACTCAGAGAGACTAAATCATTTGTTCAAGGTCCCATACCTTCTAGAGTTGGAAATTAAATTCCAGACTGTCTTTAAAATGACCTTATCTTTCCTTGTACACTTCTCTCAACGTAATAGTGTTGAGATTTTTCCACGTTGTTGGTCATGGAGGTAATTTGTTTATCAGACAGTGGTACTCCATTGGATGGCTATACCAAATATGTTTATCCATTCAGCAGTTGAGGGAAAGTTGGGTTGTTGCCATTTTGGAGCTATTAGGAGTAAAGCCAAGACCATCTAAACTCTGTGTGGACATGTTTTCGTTTCTCTCAATACCTAGGAATACAGTGGCCTGGTTGTATGATAATTGCCTATTGAACTTTATAAAAAAACAAGCAGGCTTCTTCTGAGTGTCTATAGCATTTTGCCTTTCCAGCCCCGGAGCATAAGGACCTGCCCTAGTAGGTGGTATTGCCAGCCTTTCTCATTGGAGCCATAGCAGGGGATGCCTGGTGGCATCTCTGCGGTTTTGTGTTCATGAATGACCAACCATGTTCAGCGTGATTTGATTGTTGGCCGTTAGTATATTTTCCCCTTTTTTTTTTTTTTTTTTTAAATTAAAATTGTTTTCATTAGGTCCTTTGTCTTCTCACATACATTTTAGAATTTGCTTGTCATTTTCTACCAAAAAAAGCCTCCTGGGATTTTAACTGAGATAGGTTTTTTTTTTTGTATGTGTGTGTGTGTGTGTGTGTGTTGTGTTTTGTTTTGTTGTGTTTCGTTTTCTTTGCAAAGAAGTGGTAGCCATGTGGATAATGAAATAAGGTGGTAACGAGACCGGTAGGGAGGTCATGGTGAACATCCAAATGAAAGATGCTGATGACTTCCTAGGGTAGATGCAGTAGAAAGAAATGGATAGCTTCGAGAGAGATTTAAAAGGCAAGCAAAGATAACTGCGGGTCTCTGGCTGGTGTTACTTCTGAACCGTAGCCCTGCAGTCAGAGCGAGAAGCTCCCAGAGGCAGCCTGGAGATGGCTGTGCAGGTGGCTACAGGAGGCTTCACCCGCCCCAGCCCTCACCCTCGCCCTCCGGGCTCACCTCTGGGTTCCTGGACCACGTATATTTCCCTTATTTGGAGCCAGTGGGTCATCTTTAATCCTAGGTATAAATGACAACTGTGTAGTTATCAAATGCTTCTGAAGTAAGTGAGAAACAGGACCTGGTTTCTAAGGGAAGCCGACGTCAGAGCAGGGAATAGAAATCCCTGCCACGAGTCAGCAGGGCAAGTGAGCAGCTGATCGCAATTTGAACTCAGAAGGCGAAGCTCCTGGCTCCGTGCCTGGCCTACAGACTGGCAGCAGGTTGGTCACTAATAATTACGCAAGTCTATCTGGGGGAGGAGGTAGTTTGGCTGTCTTGCTGACTAAAACCTTACTCAGCTCTCGTGTTGTAGTGTCTCTGAGACTCTGGGTCACTGTCCCTGATTCGAGTTGCATTTGCCAGTGTCAGGTTATGGAACACTTTGTCGGGGGTCGGAGAGACATGTTCCCCCTCCCTTCTTCTGTGACTTGGAGCCAACACACCCAGTCTCCCGTGAGCTTGTCGGCTTTCCGAATAGTTCATGACCTTCAGGTGTGATAGATAGTAGTTTGATGGATTCACACCATAGGCTGGAAAGGCAACATATATGTGTTGTCAGGCGTTAACTACAGAGTTGGAGTTTGAGCAGCAGTGATTTTAGGGTAGCTGGATGGTATTATGTAAATTATGCATGTTTTCTGCTGACCGTGCCCTCCCCCTGTGAACTATTTTCAGAAGTGCCCTATGCTAATGTTTGTTAAGTGTTAGCACAGCTCTCTTAGAAAAATCCCAGGGTGGTGGAGGTGGCATGGCTGGCAAGAAGATGGAGAATGCGTGCATCGTTTGCGTAGAACTACAGGGTTAGCAGTGTTCCCAGTGACAGTGCTTACGTTCTGTCAAGTGGAAGTAGAGCCAAGAAACGTGTCTATATTTCTGTAATTATTTTGTGCCTTTTATAAGATAATGTTTGGGTCCGTAGTGCCACTCTAACAGAATATACCACAAATGGGTGGCTTGAAGAAACAGGGATTTATTCTCTTACAGTTTAGGAGGCTAGACGTCCAAGTTCAAAGTGCCAGTTCTAGGGGCTGGGTGAAGGTCCCTGGACCTTGGCCTTCAGCTCTGCCTCTTGTTCCTGGCCCACTGAAGCTGAAGGCTTCTCTCAATTCAGGCTGCTGCTGACTGTTGAGACTGACAAATGCAAGATCAACAAATAAAATGGCACAGTTCCTATATTACCAAACAACATGACAGGCCACTAATTCAAGTAGAGACAGTCCCAAGATCGGCAGGAAACGTGGCAGGCTGCTGAATGAAGACTCGGCTACTTGCAGTGTCCAAGCATGCCAAAAAGCTCAGAGACCTTTCTCAGTGCTTCTCTGTATACACTGGAAGCAGACCACATCCCTGAGGCAGCTATTCCGCTGCTCCAGTAGATTCTACCATGGAGCCTGGTAACCAGTCCCATCATGGGGAATAACTACATCCAGCTGCCCAGCCACTCTAAACCAGGCCCAGCCAAGTTGCCACATAAACTTAACTACCACAGACGACAATTCATAGTTTGAATTGTTGGAATAATTCAGATTCTGTATTTGAAATATGAATTTGCTTTGCAAGGTAGATGAAATAAGGTGGTAAGGAGACCGGTAGGGAGGTCACGGTGGTAGCCCCAATTTCCATATTCCTTTTTCGGAAATGATTGCGGCCATCTTTGTATTAATATTGCACATTTTCCTTGTCCCCCGTAGCGGTGGTATCTCCATCAAAGCTGCTGCAAATATGGATCTCATGAGGGCTGACATGGGAGGGGCTGCGACCATCTGCTCAGCCATCGTGTCTGCTGCAAAGCTCAGTCTGCCCATTAATGTCGTGGGTAAGTGCAACAAGGATCTGTATGCTGGAGAGCTTCTGGGGTCAAAGGACGCCACAAACGTGGCTTCTTCCAATCCAGAAAGAGCAAGAAAATGGATTTCAGGTAGCTCTTATCAAGCAGAAGTGCTTTATGTAGCCAGGCATTTTGTGTCTGAACTGACTGGGCGATGTGTGTTTTGTAGCCGGTGGACTATAGCTGGAACAGATTGCTTTATTTCTGTGAGACGTGGTTGGCAGTGTGGGCCACTCAGTGTCAGGTCCGTGCTTTACTCCAACAGAAGCTGCTCGGCAGTCAGGGCGGAAGGGCAGAGTTAGCAGTTGCCTCCTCGGGCTGTGGCCGCTTACCTGGTGTGAGACGCAGAAAGCACCTGAGCAGGAATGAGGGTCCAGCACGCAGCGCTCTTTGTATCATGGGATGCTGGAGGCAGGCCTAGGAGGTGGCAGCATCACTAATCTCCATGGTCTGGAGGGTGTAGGGTGCTCAGAGAGTTTAAACTACTTGTCCAGTGTCATGTCTGTTGCACAGGGAAGGTAGAGTTGGAATCTAGGTCTAACTGATACGCCCTCATGGGGTCTTCTGGAGAAACAGAACTAGTGAGCTCTAAGTATATACTGAGAAAGAGCTGTACTTTAAGAAATTGGCTCATGCATTTGTCGGGGGCTGCGTGTCCCAAATCCACAGGTTAGGGGGCAGGCTGGAATCACCTACAGGCCTGTGTCTCAAAATCCATAGGTCAGGTGATGCAAGAGTACAGAGTGGAGGGAGAGAGAACTCTGCTAAAATATCTGCTTATGGTCTGGAGGCAAAACCCACCCAAAGGAAACTCCCTTTTCAGTTAACAAATTGATTACATTATGCTGGCTTGTGTTATGGAAGATCATTACATCACATCACATCATATCACCCAGACCAGTGTTTGGACAAACCATTGCAAGCCATAGCCTAGCTAGGTTGACATAGAAAATTAACCATCACACTCTCCCTTCCTTTTTTAATATCATCATCTTTTTTTTCCCCCTAAACCCAGTGAAAATAAGTGGCAGACATGGCATGTCACCCCCTCAATACTTCATCCCATAACTCCTAAGGACAAAGACAGTCTGTGTAATGACAGTACCGGTATCGTTCCATATTTTCCCAGTTGTCTGAGGATGTCCATTTTATACATACACATTCATTCTGTCTCTCACGCACATGCACACGTGTGTGCGCACACACGTGCACACACACACATACACACACACAAACACTTATATTTTAAATCTAGGGTCCAGGCAGGATCACACATTGCCTGTTGTTATGTATGTCTCTTTAGTTTTCTCCAATCTAGAGCCATATGCCTGCCTTTCTTTTCCCCATGAGGCTGACAGTTTTTGAAGGATCCAGGCTTGTGGATGTTTGACAATTTGGATTTCTTTGTTTCTTTCTGATTAAATCAGGTCACACTGATTGGTGAGAAGGCTACACTGGTAACATGTGCTCCCTGTTGCCACTGCCTGTCGTGTTGGCTGTGTCCTTGATGATGCTAATGTGGTCACTTGGTTAGGTGGCAGCTGTGTCTGGCATGCTTCTGATGGCTCCTGGAGTCCTGTCCCATGTGGTGGGGGGAGTGTATCTAGACCCAGCATTTTCCATTTTACTTCATATATTCTTTGCCAACAGGTTTGGCCCCTCTTTGTGAAAATATGCCCAGTGGTAAGGCCAACAAGCCAGGAGATGTTGTTCGAGCCAAGAATGGAAAGACCATACAGGTTTGTAAGTGGAAGACTTAGAGCACTTCCTACTGAGCATTCCTGTTGTGTTGTTGTTGTTATATGCCGTCGAGTTGGACCCAACTCATAGCGACCCCTCCTTTGGTTTCTGAGACAGTATCACTATGGAAGTAGATTGCCCAACCTTCCTTCCAAGGAGTGGCTGGTGGGTTTGAACCACCAGCCTTCTGGTTAGCAGTCAAGTGCCTTAGGCACTATGCTGAGCATTCCTAAGGGTCCCATGGTCCCCCCATGAGCACACCTTGATTGGGTGCAGAGCACTGGCCCCATGTTAGGGACAGGGATATCTTTTTTGTTTAGTAGTGTTCCATGCCACAGCAAATGTGTTTCTTTGTGGGAAAGTTAACAGCTTTATTCCTGCCTTCTTATACCTCCCCCTTCCTGTGTGCCTGTACTCCCACGTTATGTGACTTTTCAGCCAGCCCTGCAGAGCAGAGCAGGAAAAGTGTGGGCTCTTTTCTGGACCTCCCCAGGCCACGCCAACTTTCTCTACCTGAGGTGCCCCGGTGGGCAACACTGCCCTACATCATGAACTCTGCACCCTTGGGGATTCATGGCAGTGGCTCCTGCCCTGTGGCACCCACCGTGATTTTCCTGGAAAAGAAGGGAATGGAATTAGAAAGGGTTGCTGTAGTTTCAAGGCTGGGAATTCCAGAACACTTAATTGTACTCACGAGGAACCTGCACATAGACCAGGAGGCTGACATTCAGATAGAACAAGGGGATACTGCATGGTTTAAAATCAGGAAGGGACTGTGTCAGGGTTGTATCCTTTCACCATACTTATTCAGTCTGTATGGTGAGCAAATAATTTGAGAAGCTGGACTATATGAGGAAGAATGCAGCATCAGGATTAGAGGAAGACTCATTAACAACCTGCAGTTTGCAGATGACATAACCTTGCTTGCTAAAAGTGGGGATGACTTGAAGCACTTACTGATGAAGATTAAAGACTACAGTCTACAGTATGGATTACATCTGAACATAAAGAAGATAGAAATCCTTACAACTGGACAGATGAGCAACATCACAATGAATAGAGAAAACATGGAAGTTGTCAAGGATTTCATTTTACTCGTATTCACAGTCAACACCTGTGGAAGCAGCAGTCAAGAAATCAGATGGCATACTGCAGTGGGCAAATATGCTGCTAGAGACCTCTATTTAAAGTCAAAAGCAAAGGTGTCACTGTGGGGACTAAGGTATGACTGAAGCAAACCATGACATTTTCAGTCACCTCATCTGCATTTGAAAGCAGGGGCAGTGAATAAGGAAGACCAAAGAAGAATTGTTGCTTTTGATTTGTGGTGTTGGCAGAGAATATTGAATGTACCATGGACTGCCAGAAGAATGAATGAACAAGTCTGTCTTGGACAAAGTACAGCCAGAATGTTCCTTAGAAGTGGGGTTGCTGAGATTTTGTCTCACATACTTCAGACATGTCTTCAGGAGAGACCAGTCCCTGGAGAAGGACATCATGCTTGGTAAAGTAGAAGTCAGCAAAAAAGAGGAAGATCTTTAACAAGATACGTTGGCACAGTGGCTGCAACAGTGGGGTCAAACAGCGATGATTGTGAGGATGGCGCAGGACTGGGCATGTTTCATTTTATTGTAGTGTCGCTGTGAGTCAGAACGGACTTGGCAGCTCCTAACAGCAACAACAGTGTCCGGAGGTCTCTGGCTGGCCCTTAGCTATAACTTAAACTCTCTAGCCTGTTTGTTTGCAGAAAGCTTTAAATTTTGCCCCTTCTTGTTAGAAACATGTTGGTAAAACAGACATTTTCTGTTTATTCCAGCTTCCAGAGTCATCAGCATTAAGGTGACTGAATCAGCTCTGGTTATAGGGATTATTATAGTCCCTCTTTAGATATTTTCCTATTATTTGAATACAAGTACATTTTTTAATACTTAATGATAGATAACACACTAGCTTTACCCACATTTAAATTGAACATTGTTATATAGAGCCCTGGTGGCAATAACAGTTAAGTGCTTGCCCCCTAACAGAAAGGTTGGTGGTTTGAACCTCACCAATGGTTCTCTGGGAAAAAGACCTGTAATCTTGTTCCCGTAAAGACTATACCTAGAGAATGCTATGGGGGCGGTTCTGTGTCCCTTGGGGTTACTGAGTCGAAGTGGAGTTTCTTGTTCTGGAAGGGAGTTGCTCAGTGTTACAGATGCTGCTTTTAATTTGATTTGATCCTCTCTGCAGGTGGATAACACCGATGCGGAAGGGAGGCTTATACTAGCAGACGCACTCTGCTATGCACACACCTTTAATCCGAAGCTCATCATCAACGCAGCCACCTTAACAGGTCGGACAGCACGCTTTTTCTGCTTTTTTGAAGGAAGCTTTATATCTGCTCGGCACTATGTTGCTAAAATTTGGCTCTTTCTGTTTTGCATTCAAACATATTTCACCAAAGGAACGGTTTTACAGTTGTAAGGAATTTTGAATGATTAGGTGTGTTATTTTAAAACATTGCAGGCTGAAGGGGGGGCAATCTAAAAATGGCATTAAGAGACGTAGTCCGTGCTGATCACCATCAGATGCATCTGAGGAGGGAGTGAGAAACCCTGTGCCTCGGTGCTTTCTTCTTGATGATTGGGAGTGGGTTTGGTGTCTGTTCTGGTTACCTAGTACTGCTGGGACAACAATATACCGCAAATGGGATGGCTTGAACAAACAGGAGTTTATTCTTTTCCAATTTGGAGGCTTTAAGTCTGAGTTCAAAGTGCCAAGCTCTAGCAGCTGTGTGAAAGCCCTTCAACCCTGGGGTTCAACTCTGCCTCCTGCTCCCGGCCCACTGGAGCTAGAGGCTTAACTTCACTCAGACAGCTACTGGCTGCTGAGGCTAACAAGCCCAAGGTTGAAAAGTAAAATGGCACAGTCCCAATGTTACCAAACTACACGTCAGGCCATTAACTTAAGTCCTTTGTAAGTCCCAAGGTCATCAGAGCATGCCAGGCTGCTGAACAATGACATGGCTACATAAAGGGTTCAGGCATGCCATAAGCTAGAGACCATTCCCAAAACTGTTCCTTATATACGGGAAACAGACCAGATACCCAAAGGCAGAGCTACACAGCTGCTCCCAGTAGATTCCACCATGGAGTTGATGACCAGTCTCATCATAGGGAATACTGCATCCAGCTGCCCAGCCACTCAACCAGGCCCAGCCAAGTTGACACACAAACTGAACTACCTCAGTGTCCACTGATGTTCTGCACTTTTTGTACTTGACGCTATGAAAGGAAAAGTAGCACTATGGGCAAGCGAGGTCTCACTTGGCAGAGGCCAGATGGTCATGGCAGATGGTAGTCAGAGCTCTATGGCCGACCCAGGTGTGACTCTCCGCTGTGCCATTCACTGGTTGGTCATCCTTGGGCAACTAACCGGATGCCACAAGCATCCATAAACTGGCTGCTGTCAAGTCGACTCTGCCGTGACCTCGGGCATGTCAGAGTGGAGCTGCTGCAGAGGGTTTTCATTGGCCAGTTTTTCAAGTCGATTACCAGGCCTTTCTTCCAAGGCTCCTCTGAGTAGACTCAAACCTGTAACCTTTTGGTTGGCAGCCGAGCATGGTAACTGTTGGACCGCCCAGGGATTCCCACGTGTCAGTACTTGGGTTACTTCTGTTGGCCTTGTGGAGCTGTGAAGATTGGGGGCATTTTGGAAGCACTTTTGGCACAGTGCCTGGATATGGCAGGCACTTACGGAACAAAGGCCTGGGCACCACCAATTCAGTGGGTACCAGGTACATTCCTAAGGGGCTGATAGACGTGAGCTAACTGCAAAATCCCAGTGTTCGAAATCTTTGTCCCAACACATTTCCTCTTTCTAGGAATTCATTCTGTCTAAAATTCAGACCAATATTTTCTCCTTTGCTTTTAACTCTTGCCCTGGTCATGTGAGCTATCACTGTAGCAGAAATCTCTTCATGTTTCCCTCTCATGTGGGTCTAACAATAGGCCACAGATTCCTTTGCTATGAAAGTGATTTTTTTGAAGCCAGTCTACCCACGTCCCATTCCCAGCCCATGTGCCTCATAAGCAGCCTCCCGTCAGTCAGTGGAGTGTTGTGTGTTGCTAGGATGCTAGGTCGGTTCCAGCAGAAATGTCAGACTGATGCAGACTTCGAAGAAAGGCCTGGTGATCTACTAATAGCAGTCAGTCAACAAAAGCCCTAAGGGTTACGATGGTATGACCTACGTTTGCTTATGAGGATGGCGCAGGACTGGGCAGCATTTCACTGTTGGGTGGGGGGTGGCCATGAGTCAGGGGCCGAGTCTATGGAGGTAACAACAGTGGCTTTCTCTCGGTCTTCTGTTTCCCCTTTCAGTCAATAGGCATTTGGAGCTGCGTGGGCTGCTGGGTCAGGGGGTTGGGGCAAAGAACTGAGCCCTGGAGGGGTGGGTGCTACAAGGAATCACAGGAGGGAAACATCAAGTTTCCCAATTTAAAAGTCATTTTCATAGTTACCACTTGGGAGATACTCTGCAAGAGCCTTAATACCAGCCCCTTACGTTAAAAATAAGGAGCTCTGGTGGTGCAGTGGTTAAAGCACTCAGCTGCTAACTGACGGGTCTCTGGTTTGAACCCACCAGCTGCTCAGCGGGAGAAAGCTGTGGTAGTCTGCTCCCATAAAGATTAGAGCTGTGGAGACCCTACAGGGCAGTTCTGTGCTAGGTATTGTCCTCCAGCTTGATAGGCATTAGAGTCCTTCCCAGAGGCAGGGTGTTTTTGTTCTGTTTTCCCAGCCTGAGGATGTGAGGACAGAAAGTTGGCCTGGATAGCTAAGGGTAGCGTGATGGGTGAGACTTCTGGTTGCCCAGCCATTGCCCTGGGAAAAGGCTGTTGATCGCTCATTTCAGCTCCCTGAGGACGAACGAACTCCGCTGACATCTAGGAGCTGAGGTGCAAAAGGCTGAACAAGAACAGTTTCCAGCCTCAAGAGTTCTTGGCAGAATCAAGTGCACCAAACCAATACCCACACCAGCTGCTGTCCAGTCGTTTCCAAGGAGGCCTTCAAAGACGGGGGGCCAAGTTGAACCCCATGATGAGTGCAGGAGTAGGAATTAAGGAAGCGGGGAAGGGAAGCAAGAACATCCCAGCAAGGGACACCCAGCAAAGGCCGCGTGGCGGGTGTGGGTACAGCAGGTGAATGAGGACTGAAGGGAGCGCTCTGGCTGGGCAGGGGCCAGATGAGCCTGGTGTGGCAGTTGGCACCAGGCCACAGCTAGTTTCAACCGGCAGTGCTTAGGACTTTTGTCTGGAGCCAGGAGCAGCCGGAAGCTGTTGAGGTTTAAGCATGGGGACAATATGACCATACATGGCCTGCAGTGTAGAGAATGGACTGGAGAAAGGCCGACGTAGACGTGGGTGGGCCCAATAGGGGTGAACCCTGTGTGGTTAGTCACCCTCTGTGGACGTTGTGTTTACCGTAGCTCAGTGTAGTAAGGCCGTCCACGTGATCTGTTGGACGTGCACTGGAGATGACTGGTTTGGCCGTGAGTGGACAACTGTTGATATTGGGTGTTGGGTTTATTATGTTACTTTCCTTGCTTTTGTGTATATTTGAAGTCTCCCACAGTAGTTACCATGGTCCCGATGGGAGAGGACGGTGGCAGTCATGGTGGAGAGCAGTGTGTGTGTATTTGAGAGCTAATTGGGAAGGAAGAGTGATGGGCCCTGGGGGAATCAGTGGCCCCACAGCCCTGATTGCCTAACGTCCCTCTGAAGCACAGGATTTACACATGGGGCAAGCGCCAAAATCGTGACTTGTTTTAAAGGGTCAGACATTTGCAGTTTT